AACATAGATATAACAAGAAGTATCTTGTGAATTCGTTTGTAACATATAATGAATTGATCAGCAGACTATTCTGGAATCGAATCCCGATATGGAAATATCCCCGACTGCATTTGTAGCTTTTCCTTCTTCTTCTTGTGTCATATATTTACAATACTCACATTTAGTTCTATTTTTTCTATTCTCAGGCGAATGATCTCCTTGAGTTAATCTTTCCAATGGAAAGGTTGATTTAGAAGTAGTGTAAGCTTGTCTTGTGTGAAAAGATGATGAAAAGGATGATTGGTAACGTGTTTCTCTTTGACTAGTATTCACATCTAATCCTTCCATACATTTTTAAGCATGTTATCATGGTTTTATATAAAATTTTTGTTGGTATGTTCATCATAAAAACATTTCTAAAATCAGGCTATTTAAATTTTGGATCAGGCCATGATAACAGTTGTTTAAAAATCGTATGATACCAAAATATTATATATAAATAACGGGATTCGGAAATCCTTTATTATTTCGGATTTTCGTGCTACATGAACAATACATAATAAAATTTAAACTGGGTAAATGAGATTCAAAAACTGGTATTCAAAAAAAGGGTATATTTTTTTTGATTTTTTTTTTGGGGGTAATTTTAAATTTTTAGATTAAGTCCGATCTTTAAATGGTTAGATTATAAAATTTTGTTGTGCGCACATTTTTGAATCGTGAAATAAATTTTCCAATTGACGCGACAAAAATATTTTTTTACTAATATTATTACTTGCATGCTAACATTTTTTTGGAATGGCTAGAAAATTAATGAAAGACTTTGTTATTCCGATCTTTTATATCTTGTACCAAAGATTGGGCATGTAACCCGAGCATACCTTAATGGTTTTTTATGAAATATCAGTTCATACAGGTAATTTCACATTATTTTTTAGCCATTTGATTTAATAAATATCACATTAAAGAAATATTATTTGATAGGTTATATGTGCGACTATGTTGAAGGATCCATAAAATTCAATAGTCAATTATTACATATTTGGCCAGATGATGATATGATTAGAATTGCTTTTGGTGATTCTTACAAAGAAGCAGTTACTCTTTTTAAATATGTTGATTTAATTGAAATGGTATATAAAATAGAAAATCCAATCAATAGATATGATAGTTATGAAATATTACCTGAAGTTAATCAAGAATTAATTGCCTAAACATTTCTCTTGAGGAGGTTGTCAATGAAATGGCAGTTAATTTTGACTTGATGGATGATATTCCTGATGACAATGAATCTAATTATAGAAATACCTCAATGGAGACGAATCATCAGATTCAAGAATTAATGAACATGACAATTATATTATTATACAACATATTGTTGATAGTAATGGCATTATTTTTTTAAATTTAATAGATAGGCGTAGAAAACATGAGGCATTTGTTTCATCAAATTTGGATAGAAAATCTATAAATAATGGTAATATACAAGGTCAGACAACTCAACACAATTTCAAAAACACAATAAGTAGTCGGGCAGCCCATGCAAATTCTACTTGGGGAAACAAAAACTAGATGAACTTGATACAGGCTCTCTGACAATATCCCGAGCTGTGTATATATATATAATATAAATTATTATTATTATTATTATTATTATTATTGTTCCCTAAACTAACCAACAAATTCAAACCCCCAAAAAAAACTTACGATCAATTGAAAAAGGAGTCTTATTGATCACTATGACAATTTTAAGTGGCCTTTTCTTTTTTGAGGTTGCAAGATCACACGGTACCTGCCACGTCTTGGTACGCTTGTCAAATCTACCACCAACGCGATTGTGGATCGCTTTGGCTTCCTTGTTACCAATCACCAATAATGTTGTTCCTGTATCAACAATGCATTGTTGTGATTTACCACCAACAATCACTCCGTCAGCCATAATTCCATTGATGGCAATTTGCCAAAATAATTTTCTTGTCACACGAGTGAAAGTTATCGGGTTGAAGAACAGTTTTGGATCTACACCCCCAAAAATAAACACACCACCCAAAGGCCCTTTTATTGCTCTTTTTGGTCTTAATTGGACAGAGAAAATGCCTCGTGGCAATAGTTTTTGTTTTACCATACTGGTAAATGGTGTATCTATTCCTCGTACCATCGAAAGTGCCTCGTAACCTTTTAAAAGAAAATGTTGATTAATATCACACACACACACACATATATAAATATAATATAATATACAGCATTTGGTATTTTCTTACCTAAGCCCAAAATTCCATCAATTACATCATTTGCCAGAATTTCGCTTACATCCTCTACGGAAGCAAATACTTGGTTTTTTATTACCTTAGCTCCGATCTTCAAATTATCCTGAATAAATATAATATCAAATTTGAAATTAATATATAAATGGTTTTTTTTATTTCAAAACTTTTAAATTAAAATTATTTCTCTACCTTATTTATAAAACCGGAAGAGCTAGAACCATCACCATAAGATATTTTAAATTTCTTTCCAATGGGTGTGAAGGTTGAGCTTTTTTCTTCTTCGAATCTTCGATGGGACTTACACTCATCTCCACATTCTGACGAAGGTATCCATAAATCGGCAGATCCTGTGTCAAAATTTATTAAAAACGGTTGTGGTGGGGTTCCGAGTGATATTTGACCAATCCACTAGAATAAATAATACATGTAACAATTTAATAAATATAATTATTTGGTAGATTTTTATCTATCGTTAAATAATTACCTCGTTGTCGTTTAAGAAATTAACAACACCAACTGCTTGAGGAGAATTTACTGCACCAGGTGGCAGAACATTAGAACTTGTACTGGTGTTAGTAGCTCTTTTATTATTATGATCATCATCATCCATCTCAAGTTGTCTTATGTTTTCCAATCTACGCGAATGCTTAGCCAGTATAACCTGGACATCCAAATGCGTTGGAAAATTTATTCTATTGGGTAATATATCTACATGGATCATCGGTGGACGTGATGAAGGTGGAGTTAATAATAACTGTAATCGTATGAACGATGGTGAAAGGTTCAGGGACAGTAATTTATCAAGCTTGCTTGATGAATAAGAAGAGCTAACTGCATGAGCAATGAAAAAAAGGGTTAAAATTAACCGCGTTGTTTTCATTGTTAATGATAAAGGAAAACAAAAAAGTCGAAAGGGTTTGGAAGTGAAGGTGGTAATAAAATAAAATGAGTGAATGTGACTAATTAATTAGTTGGTTTAACTTATATATTAAAACAATAAGTTTAATAGAAAAATTATTATTATTAAGAAACGTACGAGAATTATATGATGTGAGGAATGAAGGAGAGGAGGAGGGGAAGATGATGAGGAATTGTAAATTAGGAAATAAAAGAAAGGCAGTGTTTTTTTGCGTTCTCTTTTCTGAAAGAATAACATATTAAATATTCGCGGTTTTGTTTGTTTATTGTTTGTATATATAATTTAATTTAATTTGTCTCGTTTGTTTTTTTAATTATTTGGATATCACAAACATTGACACTTAATCTTACTCTCTCTCGTTGGTTTGTGAACAAAATTTCGTGTGGATTTATTAGGAAATAATATTGTAAATCGTTGTCTTGATAAATATGGTAAATATGGAAAGTTCTAAAATAATATAATAAATATTCCCTATCGTTTGTGTTATATATATATGATATTTTTAAATTTTTTATTTTTTTTTGGGGATTTGTTTTGATTAGATTTTTCATTGGAAAAAAAATAACAAAAAGAAAATAAATTGAATTTGAATATTTTGAAATGATTGGATGATGTGATTTAGTAGTATATATGAATGAATTGAATGTATAAATAAATGAATGGTTGAAAAGAAAAAAAATATAATTTTTACATAGTTTTTTTTTGTTTTTAAAAGTAATCTATATATATATATATGTGTGTGTATGTATAAAAAAGAAAAAAAATTTTTAAAAAAAATAGAATTAATGTCTTTTTTCCCAGTAAATTGTACATTTGTCTCTCTTGCGCGCATTTATAATAAGTGTAAAATATAATATATAAATAAATGAATGGTATATATATATATATATATATATATAAATAAATAAATAAATAAATATTATTTAAAAAATTAAACTAATAATTGTCTAAATCATTAATTTTGAATTGTCAAAAATTATATTTGTCCTTTGGATTCTGCTGAGATTGATATTTCTATTATAATTATGAATATTTTTATTTTTATTGTTATTATTCTGACGATAAAATACAGATGTTGGTGATGTTGGTGACGATGACGACGATGACGACTTTGATGATGATGCTGATGTTGAGGAAGATGGTAATTGTGATGATGATGACGACGGTGATGATGAGGAGTATGTGTGTAGATTATTGATTAGTGAATTGGAAAAATAGCAATTGTTCATGAATGATTTTGGATGTAGAGAATAATAGGAGGTTGAAGGATTTTTTATTAATTTAGTAGAGTATTTTATGTCTTGTGTACGACACAAGTCCGAACAATATAAATCTCCCTGAAGAAACATTAGAAGGAGAAGGAGGAGGAGAGAAAAGAAAATATGGAAAAATTAATATAAAAATTTACATAAAATTTGTTTAATAACAAAACAATTGATAAATTAATGAAAAAAAAAAAACTTACCGAAGTTCGTTGAGAACAAGTAAGACACCAGTCAAGATCCATTTTATTAAAGTAACTTTTTAAAGATGGTGAGAGTAAATTAAATATTTAATATTTCAATAATATTAATTGCCAATGTATTATATATATATATAATTGTTTTTAATAATTATATAATATTAATTAATTAAAGCAATAAATATTATTTTTAATATTTTTTTAAAATTTTGAATTTTTATATAAAAAGTTATTTTTTTTTTTAATTTTTTAGAAAAAAAAAAAAATGTAAAAAGTTTAAGGGCAATTATATAATTTTATTCTTGTGTAATGTTATTTTTTCTAAGAAATTTTTTTTTATTATTAAAATATTCTTTGATTTTTTTTGTGTCATATAATAATTAAATGTAAAAGGGGTTTTATTGTATGTGAAAAAAAAAAGTAATAATTCTGCGTTAGAAAGAACATCTATTTTTTTAACTTGGTTTGGCAAAGGAAAATTAAATTTTTTTGGGTTTTTCTGTTCTGAATTGCACAAGAGGCGTTAGTTATCTTTTCATAAATAATCATTATTATATTATTATCATCATCAATTTTTGGAATACAAAAAAATACCGAATATAGAAGCCTTTCTCATATGTGTCACATACATTAATTGAAAAAATCTCACGGATTAATTGTAAATTTATTTAATTTTTTTATAAAGGGGATTAACGCAGGAACGCAGGAGCAGAAATGAAGATTATCTTGGTAAAAAACTAATTGGCGTATTTTTCAATAAATTTTGTATTCAAAAAAACATCATTTTCCCCACACTTTTCCTAATTATTATTTGTAACACAAATAACACAAATGTCACAAATGTAATTATGTATATGGTAGTTGGTGTAATGTACGTGGCTGTTTGCTGATCAATAATTGGGAGTTTTTGATTTTTTTGATTCGGTGAAGATTTAATATTTAACATCTTGTCATAATCATACCATCATTTCATCATCGCATGAGTAAAGTTTGTATGAAGCATCTTTATATGAAGATATTTATTTATTAGCAAATCAGGAAATCTTGACTATTATCTATAATAAAATAATAAAATTTCGATTCCATTATGGAAACATTTAATAAATATTGTAAAAATATATTTTATGCTATGTCATTTCTTGGTTCATTTCAGTGTAATCTTTTATATTATTGTAATTATCCGGAAGGTTCAAAGGATTATGTAAAATATTCTATAATTTAATTATTTCTACCGTTTGGTATTTTAATTAACAGCCTATCTAATCAAATTATTTCATCCTCAACATTAACATTAGGTTCCTAAACCAACAGAATATGGCATTCCATATAAAGATGTGATATTGACAACTTCTGATAATGTTAAAATTCATGTTTATGATCTACAACACGGTGATGATGATAAAGCAAAAAAAAGACCAACAATCTTGTATTTTCATGTAAGCTTACTAATTATTATTATCATATTATCATTATTAATGTAGACTAAAAAATATATACACATGTATTTTTTAGGGGAATGCTGGGAATATGGTAATTATTATTATTATACATTGTATGCAGTATGCAATTTATAATCTAGCTTACAAGTTAATCTATAAATAAATAAACAATATAATGATACAACATATATGTTTAGGGGCATTGTTTAGAAATCGCCGAACAATTTTACAAAGTATTTTATTACAATGTTATAATGGTTTCTTATAGAGGGTAGGCAGACAATTCACAATATCAAATTATTTAATATTATATTAATTAAACATTAATAGCATTTATTTATTTAGATATGGATTTAGTAAAGGTTCTCCAACTGAAAAAGGACTCAAAATCGACGCACAAGTAAATTATCAGCATATTATCAGCATATTATCATCAAATTATTTATTCATTCATTCACACATTCATTCATTCACACATTCATTCATTCATTCAATATTCATATTTTATACGCATATAGACAGTTTTGGACTATATTAAAAATCACGAAATTTATAAAAATTCCAAGGTCATAGTGTTTGGTCAATCATTGGGAGGTGCTGTATCAATCGATTTGGTATCAAAGAATGAAGATAAGGCAAGTAGATAATTAAAATAAAAGTGTCAATTCTCTTTCGGGGACACTTGATAATACCAATCTGTTTGCAAGTTAATACTACACATGGTTTAGTTTTTTAATTTGTAAATATTTCTTCATTGTTTGAATTTTTGATAAAATAAAGTAGAAATAAAAAAAAATATATATAAAAAGATGAAATACATCTCAAATTAAACAATCCAAAATTAATATTTCTTTACAACTTGAAAAACTTCATATTCGTCGATTGTAAAAGTACCATTTTTGTGAATAGACTTGCTATATTTTAACTGCGAATATTTCACCTCATTCTTTTTGTTATCACTATTAGGATTTTTTAATAGATGCAAATCGCTAAAATGTGGGCCTGAATTTCTGTCCAAATACATTGCATCTTGATTTTCTTTAATTCGTGAAATTTTAAATGATCTCGTATCTTTCTCCTTCAACGAAAATAAAAAACTCTCGTCGCATTTCATCCATTTAGCCTCGTTCAACGACAACCAGTTTTCTGAAGTGTAGCCACCTAAAATTACTTGCGATGATCCACTGCCACTACCACCGCCAGATAATCGAAATATTGTGATGGTTGGCCCTTTCGCGTCACATCTTAAATGAAATGAGCCAGGTGTGAAACTGTCTACGCTACCTCTTAACAATAAATTATATTCAAAAAGTTTGCTGTTATTGCTATTATTATTACCATTGGTTTTTTCTTCTTCTGTGCCATCACTTTCATCAATTATTGATCTTCTTGAATCAATGCTACTTCTCTTATTACCGCTATTCGATGAGAACAAAGATGTTAATTTACTATTACCACCACCACCACCATTATTATTAGAAGGTTGATTTTCCGAGTAATCATTATGATGTTGATAAATCCAATTGGAAATAAGTTTTGCTTGTTCATGTGATAAGATTTTTGATTCAATTACCGGTTTTTTCCTTGCTGGTAATATTTGCGTGGTAGATTGATTATAGGTTTTCAAAATATGAAATTGCAAAATCTCATCATACAATGCGACATCAACAGCTGCTGCGTAAGGTCTAATTTTTCGATAAAAATCTTGAGATGAGATTGAAAAAAATCTAATGCACGTGACACAATGTGCAATTGTCGATTTCAAACACGCGAAATCGGTCGATGACCAATCAGATAGTGAATCAGGTAATCCTGGATTCTGTGCTACTCCCCATTGAATCAAATAATCCCAAATCTTGATTTCTTTCATCACAAAATCTTCACGCTTAAGAATCGAATACAGTCCCGATTCTTCCAATTGCGTGAAATCAGGCGACTCGAATAATATTTCCGGTGATTCGCATACTAAATTCGTACAGAAAATTTGTAATTTTTTAAATGAATCATGCTGATAACAGATTTTGTGTGTGAAAACGAAATTCTCTCGAATCCATTGATTATGATTTTTTATCATATGGTCTTGAACGTGATCGATCAGGTACGTCAATGACAATTCTTCGCAGCCGACCAACAATCTCAAGACATTTTCGCCTGCTAGGTCATCCAAATCAAGTCTACCGCTATAAATATACCCGAGAATTATGTTAAACGCTATCGGTGACAAATTCAATTTCAACAAAAATCCATCCCCGTCACTGTTTTTTACTTGATCAAGTCCCGAGTCGAAATAAACTGATCGAGATGTTAGAATTATCGAATGTGCTTGAAATGTTTTCACATCGTCACCTTTACCAACTCTGATTGTAACATCACAATTTTTACCTTTCTCAAGTAATTTACTAAAATCTCGAGACAATAATGGAAGGAATTGTGTTGATGACATTTTTATTTATATATTATATGATTGATAAATAAATATACATGTATTGATGAATTTGATTTTTATTTCATATATTTATGAATTAGCGAGAGTAAGATGTAGGAGAAATGGATGAAGAAAAATACATTGGCCTTAAATACTATTTTTTTTTATGATATAGGAGTTATTGATTTGGTCTTTTTTAAACAAATAATGGGAATTGTATCATCATTATTTAATTTCCAAATATAAAATTTATCCCAAATTTATCTAAACAATAATTATTCCTAAAAATGGTTGGAAATCTTCCAAATACTAAAAATAAATATCAATATTATGACGATCAATACCACTATTTGCTAGTACTAGTAAAAATAATCAGAACATATTCGGGATAAATTGGAAAGTGGAATGATTCCAATTCTTTCCTTTTATCCCCATATCTTTTGGTATATTTCCAGGTTAGCTTTTTTCTCTTGAAAAGACGTTTTTGTTGCCAAATTAAACATTTTAATTCTTTAAATATTGGTCATTAATTGGTCATAATTGTTCACGTGATTAAAACGACGCCCAAAAATTAAATTACCATTGTTAAATATTAATAAATTTACGAATTCTGACATCACCAGTTAATTTTATATATTCAATATATTCAAAAAAAAAAAAATTCTTTTTAATGATTTAAAAAAAAAAAAAAATGAAAAAGGAAAGAAATGATGACAATTTATTTTTACATATGATGAAGGTGAGAAAAATTATTTAAAAAGAAAATTATAGTAGTAAAAAAAAATAAAATCCTTATGTAATATGCTTAATTATTATTATGATGATTTTTTTTGTCTTTATATTTTATAATATTTATATTAATTGAATAGTAGAAAGAAAAAAATTTTATTAACAGATAGAAAAAAATTACATAATTATCTACTTAAAAAAATCTATATATATTTATCTCATCCAAAGTTTATTTTTTTATTGTTGTTGTTGGAATTCATAAAAATCAAAGTTTTTTTTTTTTAAAAAGGTTAATGTTTTTTTTAAACCAACCAATAATAAAAAAATAAAATAAGAAAACTAATTATTATCACATTCTACTATATATATAAACAACACATAGCATATATATAATTTTTTTATATACACCATATATACAATAAGCACAACAAATCAACCAATGATTTTTTTTTTTACACAGTTGATTGACGACAATTACGCATGATTGGAATATGAGCTGGTATTGCAGTCTTTATAGGTGATGTGAATACTGCTGTTGTTGTTAATGGCGGCGATATTGTACCAGGTGTACTTGGCCTTGATGGAATAGATGTGACGTTGGGTGCTCTATTTTGATACATGCCAGTTGGAGTACTTGGTCTAGATGGCAATTTATTGTTATTACTACTACTACTATTATTATTATTATATGGAACAGTTGATGCCCTAGCAAGAGTTGGTCTTTTAGTAGCTGGGGTTGGCATTTTAGTTGGTGAAGTAGTAATGCTACCACTGTTATTATTATTGTTAATATTTGTGTATATTGGTGCTATATAATTGTTTGTATTCGAAGGAATTTGAATACCGGATGGAGCACTTGGCCGTTGAATTGATGACGGGCTCTGAATACCAGATGGGGTGCTTGGTCGCTGTATGCACGATGGTGATGATGTTAATGATGTTGGCGATGGGGTGCTTGGTCTTTGAATACCGGATGGAGTGGATGGCCTTGAGGCACCGGCTAAACTTGGAGTTCTTGGTCTGGCAATGTTTGCGGTGGATGCTTTTGATAAATTACTTCTGGAATTTTGTCTTGTTGGAAATTTCGGCAGTCCGGAATGTACTGGTATTTTGAAGTTTATTGATCGCGTGCAATCTAATTTCATAGTTTCGACAAGTTTTAAAATTCTTTCATAAATAATATCACTTTCTTTATCTATCACTTCTTCTCCGCTTCCAATTGAATTATAATCTTCTTTGCTGTCGCTATCACTATTGACATAATTACTGCAATTGTTATCGTTATTGTCGTCATCGTTATTCTTCCCTATTTTATTATTATTGTTGTTGTTGTTGTTGTTGCTAGAAATTTTCATGTTATTTATTGTTTGCCTTAGTTTAACACATTCTTCGTTTGACTCTTTTAAAGAAAACTCTAATTCTTTAACACGTTTTTCCAAAGCACTGGCAGAGGCCCTTAAAAGTTGATTTTCTAACTCGGCAACTCTTTGTTCCAATGAAAATATTCTTTTAATTTCTTTATCATCACTAGGAGCATTTTCAAGAAGTGTATGAACCATTGTTTTATTTTTTAATTTTATTTTTTTTTTCAAAAAATTAATATTTATATTGTGTAATATATAAAAATAAATTTGTTTATTATTTATTAAAAATATTTTATGTATGTATATATTATGTATTTTATTACATATACAATGAATTTTTTGTTTTATTTTTTTACCACGAAGGTTGGCAACGCGGTCTCTCGTTTTTTATTATTATTAATTGTTGTTGTGAGAAGTTTGTTTTTTTGGTTTTTTTTTTTTTAAAAAAAAATCTTTTGGAAAAATTAAAAATTAATTTGTTGTAAAAAAATTTATAATTAAAAAAATTTAGATTTAGAAAGTGAGTGCACTAAATAAATGCACATACATGCATATTATTTATTTATTATATATATGGCAAACGATAAAAAGTGTTCCCCTTACTTGGTGTAGCATTTAGATATTTTTTTTAAATGGAAAAAAACTTTTTACATATAAAAACATTTCTTTGTTTTTTTTTTTTTTTTTGTTGCCGCTTGCTTCTTTTCACATTAAAAAAAGAAGAGGTCATATGAAATTCTATCCTAATTAGATATTTTTAAACCTAATTTAGATTGTGAAATCATCATACTTTACTATTTTGCTACAAGTGTGTTATATATAAAAAATCATGTATCTAATATTTATTTAGATAATTTTTTTAAGCCATTATTTAATTATCTTGATTATTTTAGTTATTGATTGTAATATGTAAATAAATAAAAAAGTATTTTCGCTGTCTGTGTGAATGAGGAATGAATTTCTTAGGAATCATAGGAATCAGAAGATTTAAAAATTAGGTTAAAGTAAAAAGAAAATCATTGATCATTCATTGACAATAATTCACATCTAATCTTAATGGTAACTCTAAAAATTCATTGGCATATCTTCATATGAGTAGAATGGTGTAATCATCATTATGTATAATATGATATAATATAATGCCTATTACACATACATATATATTTAGATATATATATATATATATTTAATGATCGATTATCCATTTTCGATTGTTTTTATTTTTTAAAATCTTTAACTTGGTATTTTTTTTTTGGCCAACTTGTCCATTGTATTTAAATATTTCCTTAAAAACATAATAAATTGTTTTATCTATTTATTTGTTTATTTGTTTTATCCAAATTAAAACCACCCAGCAATAATAAAGTTACCATGGGCTCAACACAATACTCACCATATAGTAAAAATGATTACATTCATGGATTGTTATTGGAGAAGAAGAAAGAGGGAGGTCAAATTTTTTTGGCTACTAACCAAATGTTATAACTTTAAAATTATTTGAATATTTGGAAAAGATTTACATAAAATTCACATGGTGTGCCTTTTGGCTGAATCAATTAATAGGCGTTGAGCGCTGGTGAAACATTGCAGAAAACGTATATGGCTTTTATTAGCCACTAAAAATTTGCCTTCTTTTTCAACAACAAACAATCTCAAAAAAGTAAAATATCTATCAATAAACAAAAAAGACTACAATAAAGAGTAAATTAAAATAAATAAGTATATAAATAAATTGAATAAATAAAAAAGATGCAAGTATTTCACGAGGAGGAAGATCTACAACATACTCCACCACCTCCGTACACTTTGATTGACGACAACAACATTCATAATAGTGAAATCAATAATTTTAATAATCCTCATCATTTTGTACTTGATGTCGATAACAATGGTCCTCAAGTTCGACAGGTTTGGAATTTTTTTTTTAAAAAAAAGTAATTTTTTATTTAGACGATTATTTAAAGTTTAAGTTTAGTTAATTAATGAACGAGTTAGTTAATAAAAGATTAGCCAGTTTTCCCGATGCGATAATGGACTTTTTGGTGTTATTATTAATATTAATATTAATATTATAAAGACTCAATCAAAAATCAATCATCATTATCATATTTGTTTGCAGGATTCTTCTTATCCAGTAACTGGTGATCCACAAAATGAAGAATATCTCAGATGGTTAGAACAACAACAACTACAACGTGTAGAAGGATTAAGGGATGCTGATAGTGCTACTGGTTGGCTAGCATCATCTGATCCTAATCATATAGATTATAATAATGATCATATTGGACCATTACCTCCAATACCTGAAGAACATCAACAAAATAATAATAACCGTCGCAATAATCGTCGCAACCGTAATAATAATCATCACCATGGTAATAATAATAGTCATCATTATCATCGTGGTAATAATAACAACCATAGTCGACATGACAATAATAACCGTCATAATAATAATAATTATATTAACAATCATATATCGCCATCATTACCATTACCACCATCTTCGTTGCGTAATGAACAGCAGCCTATAGTTAGCCCAAATTATGGCAGTTTAAATCCAGGTATTTAACTAATCAATTAACTCATTCATTTAATCATTTATATATTATGGATTAAAAATATTTGAACAAGTTTCATTTTATAAATTAGATTTTATTCATTAGTATTTTTAATATTAATCATGAACACATTATTATTATATAGCATACTTGCCACCGCCAGTATTGTATAATAATAACAATAATGATTTAAATAGATACGCTCATCTTCAACCATCCAATCATAATAACGTTAATTTTGTTCCTAGAAATTTTGCTGATGACAATTATAGATCTAGTTCAAAATGTCCAAGGGTTGCTTATTTGATTTTTCTATTGGCTTTCTATTTTATAATTATATTGATCTCATCAGAATCATTATCCTTATCATTGATATCCGTATGATCAATCAACCAAATCATTACTAGAATCACCTTATAAAGAAACTTATTATTTATTATACAAAAGAAACAATTCCCTTTATTTTATGAATATTGTATTTATTGCATTACATATACATTATTGTTGTTTATTATTAGAAAATTGCATTTTATTCTATTGTGTAAAAAAGGATAAATTAAATATCCTATAATGGTAATCATCAATAAGTTAATTGTTAAATAATAGTAATCATAAATTAATTATTTAAATAATGGTAATAATCAATAAATTAATTATTAAATAATGCATGAGAGAATAGATTGATTTTTTATTATGCAATCACTAATAATAACATCATTAACAAAAAGTTAATGAACATTACAAAGGATCAAAATTAGGCAAATATCATAATTGTACTACCAATACAATGTTGAATTTTATTATCCTCCATCATACACACACTCATTGCTTGTGTAATATACAAGATTATTACATATTGCGACTTACGTAGCTGCTGCGGCTAGTTTCGAATGACCATACTAGTATCATATCGGCTTGCCTTTTTAGTATCCTAATACTATTAATACAATTCCAAATTCAATGATCCGGGATGTTTTTTATACCTAATTATCGAAAAATTAATGTAATATGGACCAAATAAAACCATTCACAAAAGGACATGTTTATTGGATTATTAATTATGCATTCATCGAATTATTCCGTAAAGGTAAGTAGTGGTCATTTAAGATAGATAGTGTTTTTATTTATCGTTTTTAAGAAAACTTTTAGTGAAATTTTCAAAATAAAGATCGAAAATAAATCCAATTAATTAAAGCACTTCTTAACATTTGACGAATATATTATTTAATAGGTTGTTCAATGGTTCAAGATAGAATGATATGGAGTCGAAACAAATATGAAGTCTACATTACATGTCTTGTTGGCGGCTATGTATTCTTGATGGAAATGTGCCGTCATGGATATATGAATAATATCCATTTGATCAATAAGAATGAGTAGTTGTTAAAAAATTTTCGAGGACTTCCTATTATCTGCTTTAAAAATTGACAAAAATCAAGTCTTAGAGGAAGCTTTACTTTCAGTTTCTGATGAAAAGAAAAAATATTCAATTATTTAACAAGGAAGTGGTGATTCGTCTTTTGACTACCACTATTTCTACCCAAGAAACGAAAAATGATCAGACCCTTTACTTTCTCGTTTAGATTAAATTAACACTGATACTGCTCATCCAAAGAAATTCTTTTTATATAAATGTTACTGCTGATTTTTGGTACCTTTGCTTTTGCTTAATTTGGTTTTATTGATTTTGCTACTGGCTCCAGGATCAAATGAAATAATATAATAGTAAAATGTGCATTTGATTTTGCAAAGTCAATGATTATGGGTGGTACACTTATTATTATGATGTTATCCTTTTGTCTGCCTGCAGTAATCCCTGATTAATTAATTTTAAAAAAAATAACGACGGTATATTTAAATAAGGAAATATTGAAAAAAATTTATTATTAATATTAATATTAACGCAAAGATTTATCCGTAACCGTAGTAACTTGATGGTCGGTTAACATATTTAGAATAGTTAATGCAGATAATAATAATGAGGATTTCATCTCGAGAAATAAACCCAAATATAGTAAATTATTTAAATATACTCGATAAAGCATAGCTTTATTATATTATTCACATGAACAAAAAGTTGGATTCTTACTTTTTTTGCATCATCAAATTTTTTTATTTATTAATATAGTCAATTTATAATTAATAATAAAAAAATCGAAGAGAAAAATAACATCGATCCAAACGATGATAAAAATAGCAATAATATCGGCCTTATAGAAGAAGTAATGACAATGGAGAATATGAAACATCATCAATTGTTGGATTGAACTATCCAAAGACAATAACTTTCAAATATTTTTATCAATTGAATTAATTTCTTGACTTAGCAATAGAAAATTACAATGAATTATAATCAATGGCAAAATCCATGAATACTTCGATAATAGCGTATTCATTATTTGTTAATAATGATTAGGTATTTAATAAATTAGTTCTTTAGAATTCATTAATGCCACAATAGGATAACGCTGAACTATATCATATCCATAAAAGAAAATTCAAAACTAATGGTTTTTTCATTCTACTTTTTCATTATGTAAGAAGAGAATTTATTTTCATTTGTTTGTTTATATGCAAATAAACATGTGCAAGTTTTTTTGTTTTGTGGTTAAATTCGAAGAAAAAAGATGCTTTCACTTGAAATAAAAAGAATCCTTATATTTTTATGGAGATATTGCAAACGAAAATAAAATTTATTTGAAACCGATTAAAAAGCGAAATATATAAAATATTTTGGATTGTAAAACATCAACAGGTCCGGAATGTCCATGAATTTACAAATATTAAATATAACAACCAATAATTAAATGAAGAATTGATGAATATAAATTAAAGATTTAATTTTAAGAACAAGAAATTATATACTAATACAAAAGAAAAACATAATAAAGCAGATATAAATAGTAATAAGATTGAAAATTATAATATAATTTATCATTTGAAAAGAAATTTGGAAGCAGAATTAGTGTATAGTATTATTGTGGAAAAAGTATTAGATTCGGGAAATAAGCAACAATTCATTTATTCAAGATCCCTTTATGATACAACCACCTGATGATTCTCTTCTTCAATGCTGACTATTATAGTTTCCTTACGGATAAATTATTTTACAAGATGACATTTATCCGACAATATTGATGGTTTTATTTCAAATTCGTCAGATATATCACAGCTGTGAATATTTATTGGTCTGCTTGGTAATGCTATCGAAGAAAACAATACACAGGAAGCATTCTTGACTGAAAAGACAACGATATTGATCTGTTGTTATTTTATTTAAACATCATTGGAAAAATTGCTTTCCAGATATATTGTATTAATAATTTGTATCAGTTGGTGATATTTGTAAAAACAATCAAAGAAATATATGGCGGTAATAAAGATTCAGATCATTTTCGATTTATCTCTGGAAATTGGTGGATATGCCCAAGTCAAATGATTTAGGCACTACATAAAATTTGAAAATACCTTCAAGAAATTCTTGAAATAATAATGATAAAACATTGTTAAATGAAATCAAGGATACTAGGCTTTATTGTTATAATTATTATATTTGTTTATAATTGCCTAATTTTTATCTTTGAATCGTGTCAATGTTCCTTCGCGTATATAGAATTATAATGTGAGTGCAAAAATTTCATAATGTTTTCGTGAAGGTTGGTTAAAAGACTTGCGTTAATCACAAGTTTAGCATGATCTCTTACCCTTTTATTATCATGATCAATATTCTATAAAAGAAGCGTTTCTTTATTAGCGTTTTCATCATTATTAGTAAAGAATGGAATTATTATTAAAGTCTTTTTTGTAATTTAAAAAAAAATGATATAATAATAAGAAAATACGTAGTTTTTCCGTAAAAAAATTTTTTATTGTAAAAGTTAAAGATCAAAGATTGACATGGAGCCTTTATATTTAATTGGGATATGTATTAACGAAGCCAAAGCACATCTTAATCAGTTTTAAATATACACCTATTACTATGAATAGTAACATTTCAAAAGACCAAAAATTGACAGACTTGTTTTAGAAACATTGTAAAGTGTCCATGGTGAGTGATATAGGAAATCGCAGTTTATGCCATAATATTTTCATAGCATGATATGGACTAATAACCGTTGGAATTGTCTTAAGAGACTTTATTTTCAACTAAAAGTATCACAAGTTGTGTTAATCAAAAGTTGCTTGTTATGTTAATATTAATTAATTATACCCTGGTGTTCGCAAATTACCGGGTTTTCATGGATTTCGAATTTAAGAATACTATCTTTTAAACGAACAAAAATTTGTAGACCCCATCTAAACAACAAGTTATCATTTGTCCCCCATTTTTTTTTTTTTTTTTTGATTTCTAAATAGACAAAAAGGTATGATTTATACATTATTTGATTGATATTTTGGGGGGTTTAATTAATGTGAAAAAAGGTGCATTGTAAAAAAAATCCCGATTTCTAATTTTTTTAATAGTTATGAACAAAACTACTTTAAAATTATATATTCACACAACATAATTTTGAGATCATCACTAAGTGATAAATGTGATAAATCGAACTTCCATCATGCTGAAATTTTATATGTCCTTCGGATCCAGCACATTCGGACAGGGATAGAAAGGGGAAGTTGTACAAAATAGGCTTATCCTATTTTACCTCGCCGGGTGGATATTTACCTGGTGATAATCACAAATAATCACAATGAATGTAGTGAATGTTCCAGATGATTCTAGCGAATTTTCCGTCAGATTTTGTCCAGCCTAGGGTTAACCTAACAGGAGAGAACGTCCTATATAAGGAATGGATTTTCACAATTGATTTCAATTTTTTTTATACAGTTTAAAATACTT